GTTCTGTGATCCAGGGACACTGACCTCTTTGAAGTTCCTCCATGTAACACTCCATCTCCCAACTCTGGCTGTCTCCCAGGCCTGGAATGCTCTCCCTCCTCATCTCTATTTCCTAGCCTCCCTTGCTTTCTCCAAATTCCACTGGAGATTACACCTTCTACAATAAGCCTTTCCTGATCCTCCTCAATACTATTGTCTTCCCTCTCTCGATTATGTCCAATTTATCTTGTCCATATTTTGTTTGTATTTGTCTCCCCCATTACAGACTATGAGCTCTTTGAGAGCAGACTGATGCTTACCTTTCTTTGGCAAAAAGGTAAGAGATGATGTTAGGCATTTGTTGTCATCCTTTATGCTCGAAGAGGACCAAATTTACATCACGATTTCGGGGTTAATGTACATTATGTCCAACTGTGGCTGATCAGACCAATATGAACTGGGAAGGCTATACCACAGGTTGGGCACAAACAGTCCACATGCTGGGCAATACAAAGACCCTTTAGCTTGAAACTCAATGACAACTATCACCATATTTGGTCTGTCAGGTTCCCCCAATATGCTGGGGAGAAGGAGGGTGAGTGTGGAGAGTGAGAAGCATGACAAAGTCTAGAGACATTGTGATAGCTTTCTCCTCGTATAGCCAAAGAAAACTGTTGGCTGTGTATATCCCTTTTGTTTTTTGGAACTTATCAATCTATATGGCTGTGTTGTTGAAATGAACTGACTAAGAAGTGCATAGTCTCTTTTAAGTTGCAGTGAATATGTACTGCCAAAATAGCTTGAGGAGATCAAGTCTCTATGATTCTTCATGCTTATACTCTATTTAGCTGAAAGTTTGTTAATACTTTACCATGCCAAATGAGTTAACACAAAATAAACTAAATAAAAGTGAACATATTATATAATATGCTTCATTCCACTGTTAAAAGAAAATCAACTGTACTAGTCTATGCACCAAAGACCCAGAAGAAAGATAGGACAGGGTAGAGTACTGATCTTGAACATCAGAAGACCTGGATCTGCCTCCTAGTTCTAACACTTATTAGCTATGTCACCCCCCAGCACCTCACATTTTGCACTTCTTTCCACATCTGTAAAATGATAAGACTTAACTATCTCCTAAGAGTGTAAGGAAAGTAATTTGTAAATCTTACAGTGCTATATAAACTATTATCATCAATAAAGGTTTACTGAAACTAATCATCCAATAAGCTTTACACTGAGGGTCTCAGGTGCTTCAATGGAAGTTAAAAGAAAAGGTCAATTTCTTGCTAGGGGTCCAAAGCAGCCGCACAGAACTCTGTAGTCCCTACTCTGCTGGGGAAACTTGAGGCTGGTGGATTGCTCAAGCTGAGTTCTGAGCTGCAGGAGGGATAAAACCAATCACTAAAATTCAGCACCCATATAAGTGAGCCCCCTGGAGCAGAGTCCAAAAAAATGGAGTAGGTCAAAACTTCCATGCCTATCAGTTCTGGAACTTCCAGCGTGGAGGAGGAGACTCAGTCTCAAAAATAAACAAATGAAAGAATATATGAATAATTCCTAGACTTATCACTGCCCAAGTACCTCTATCCCTTCTTTGCAGAGGTGGGAGGATTATGGACCCAGAACATGTCAGACTTGCACTGATTAATCTTACTGAATTGTTTTTCCCTTCTTTTTATTTTTTAATTATAAGAGAATTCTTTGTTATAAGAAATGGCTCTAAGGGACAGTGGGGAAGAATATATTGGGAAATATAAGTGATGATGTAAAAAAATTATTTAATGAAAGATTAAATTATGTTCACTAAAATCTGAGGAAGCAGTGAAGTTAACACATTTTTGAAGACTTTTTTTCATAAAAGGATTATAATTTTTAAAAGACTAAATGTTTAAGTATAACATTCAGTCATCTGAAAAAATTAACTGACAAAATTAAACAGTTCATTCCCCAATGATGCAGCATAAACAAAACATTACTGTTCGATTCTAATATAATTACCTTCTTAAATGTTTAAATAGTAGAAAATCACAATAAAGCCTCAGTTTTTCAGGCTTCTAGAATTATTTCAGACCTGAAAGTAGCCAAAAAAGTTGGGGGGGAGGGGAAAGATGCCCTCTCCCAAGAAGTAAGCAATAAAGAGGGCTAAGAAAAGCCAAAGACTAGAAGATTACACCTGATCAACATGCTGTAATCCATCATTCACTTTGTCAGGTAGCTAGAGAGAAGTGTTTTGATTGGTCATCGTTATCTACAAAAGCATAATTTGGATTTTGTTTGTTTTAGGGGAAAAAAAGCCAAGAATCCTGGGAAAACATGTTTCTTGACTCCAGGAAATAAGAGTGACAAGGAAACAAAGCAGAAAGAAGGGGTAAAAGAAGTCAGTGGAATTCAGCAGCAGGGCTTAGCAGCCAGTGGATGGGGAGCAGCAACAATTGGAAGAGGCGCCCGGGCGAGCTAACAGCAGACTGAGTGATGGCAGAATAGGTGGCAGCAATGGCAAACAGCAATAGAAGGGCAGGACACAAACGGAGAGACCATAAGTGGCAAGAACATACTAAAAATAAAGAGCAAAGAACAGCAAACTACAGCAAGAAAGAATGGATCCCGGGGAGAAATAGGACAGTAGAGACCAGGAGCTCCCGAATGAGACTCGAAGCCTGGCCACCTGGCCCAGCCCCAGACACTGAAGAAGCTCAGAAGTCTTGGGGGGAAGAGGGAGGTGATGGAAAGCTACACCCATGGTACCACAAGGTGAGATTCTATCATAATAAGGCCATAAGAAAGTATACAGCCAGGTTTCTAACTCCATTAATGATCACATTTTCTTCCTCCAAAAAGCTAAGTTTAGTGGTATGATTAAATATACCCTGACTGCTTCCAAAAAAGTGATCTATGCTGACAAATATTAAGGTTCCATTTTTAAATTTCTTTGACCCAACAAATGTGTTCCCTAGCGCCCACCCCAACCTCATTCTCTGAAGCTATACAGCCTCAAAGCACAAGGAATCTGTGAAAAGATTTGTTGTTCAGTTGTGTCCTACTCTTCATGACCCTATGGACCATACTGTCCATGGGGTTTTCTTGGCAAAGACACTGGAGTGGTTTGCCATTTCCTACTCCAGCAGATTAAGGCAAACAGAGGTTAAGTGACTTGCCCAGGGCCACACAGCCAGCTAGGAAGTATCTGAGGCTGAATTTGAACTCAGGTCTTCCTGACTCCAGGCCCAGCACTCTATTCTTTAGCTGCCTAAAACGATTGCTTCAGCTCAACTCAATTCCCAAATCACAACCCAACACTACCCTATACAAAAGCCCCAACAACAAAGAATAAGTTCTAGAAGTTAACTGGGCCAATTTTCTAGTGCTAGAATAGTACAACATTTTAATGTTTTGCCACAGCTGCTTGTCCAAGATATCTATATTCCGTAAGATTTAATGGGTTCAAAATTGCTTCAAAGTTATTATTTTTAAAAATCAACAATTTCCACCTAAAAGTCTAGGTTGATACACATAGCCTCTATGATCTGCAAAGCACTTTACACATGTTAACTGTGTTATCCCCATTTCACAGATAAGGAAACAGGCTGAGAGCAGTTAAATGATTTGCCTAGGTTCACACAGCTAGGAAATGACTGAGGTAGGCTATGAATTCAGGTCTTCCTAACTCCAAGTCCCAAGCCCTATTCACCGTGCCACCTAAGGCTGATCTTAAAACTGCTAACATTACATCCCTACTAAAGCTCTCTATTATCATTTATGCATATATATAGGAAAATCAACATAAAAACTGAAATATTTCAACTGGCTGAGTTGGCAACTCACAAATGGAACCAAAACACACACCTGACTACTCCTTATCTCTCCCTTTCTCTTCTCTACAATTACTGGATGATTAAGATACAGTTAATACTGGAATCAGCAAATTATACTTTTAGACAAATCTGAAAGTTTTTATAAAATACTTATGTGGGTATATAATGAAACACCGCCAATGTGCGGAAACTTTCCAAGGAGTGAGGCCAGGCTTAAACGTCAGGAGCCCGGCATGTGCCTCCCAGGTCTACCCCGCACGGCAAAGCCCTCCTACCGTTTCCCCGCACGGACCCGGGGCCGACTGACCCAGCAGGCTACCAGGGGAAAGCTGGGCGCTCCGCGTCTTCCTCGCCAGAGACCACAAGAAGCCGCCCCGCCCGCAATTCGAGGCGGAACCTCCAAAGGTCACCCCTAGGCCCAGGTAAAAGGGGCCGCCCCGGGGGGCCTCGGTCCACCTGTCCGAGCAGGAGGGGCGGGAGGAGCCAGGGCCGCAACGCGCCTCCATGCAGGCTGGCCTCGGCAGCGCCCCGCGCACAGCCCAGGCTCTGAAGCCTCCACCCGCTCGCTCCGGAGCAGTAACAGCAGGAACATCGCTCGAGGCCGGTCCGCCTCCCCCACCCCCACACCCGGGAGCTGTCACCTGCCTCGAGACCGGAGGGGGCAGCTCGGGGGGAGGGGGGGGGCTGCGCTCGAGGCTCCCCCGGCCCAGGTGCGGCTCCTCCGCAGCAGGGGGTCGTCGGGAGCCCACCGGGATCCTCCTCCTCCTCCTCCCCCTCTCAAGGTGGGCTGGAGGTTGGACGACTGGGGGAGGTGCCGGGGTGGGCCGTGGCCCTCCGAGTACACACTCACACACACGGGCTTACACGTACTTGCACACACTCACACTCGCTCGTTCACTCCCGGGGGCGGGGCGGGCGCTGCCCTCTCTCACACAGGAAGTCAGGAAACCGGGGTGGGGGAATGGGGGAAGGGGAGAGGAGGAGGAAGAAGAGGAGAAGGAGGGAGCGACAACTTCGAGCCATTTAAACCCGGGGCGGGCCAATGGGAGGACTGCGGCCCCCTCCCCCGCCCGGAGCGCGGGACCGCCGCCACCCCCCCCCCGCCGCCGCCCCCGCGCCCCCCGGCCGATCCCCTTTGTCCCGTCCGTCCCATCCTCGCGGCCTTCCCCCCGCTCCTTACCGACGGCAGCGGGAGCCGGGCGGCTGGAGAGTAAACACGGCGGCGGCGGCGGCAGCGCCCGGAGCCTAGCCGCGTCCCCGGGCTCTGCCTCGGAGGGAGGGTGAGTTCCAGGGCACGTCGGGAGAGCGCGCTGACGCGGGGGCGGGGCGGGCAGGGGAGGGGGCGCGGGGCCCGGCGCGCGCGCCGGGGCCGGGAGAGAGGGAGGCGAGAGGGGAAGTGGAGGGGAGGGTCACGTGAGCTTGCCCGCGGTGCCCTGGGGCGGGGGGGCCGAGAGTGGAAGCGGTAGCCGCCTCGTGCCCCATCGCGGGGCGGGGCCGGCAGAGGGGGCGGGGCCGAGCCTAGGGGCGGGGCGGGCCGGAGTCCAGAATGTGTGTGCCCAGCACTTTGGGGGGGCGGGGGTTGGGCTTTGGCTCTCGAGGGGTAGGGAGTGGGGCAGGGTTGGAGAGGTCCTCGGTGTGAGAGCGGGGCGCAAAAAGGGCTAGGACCCTAGACGTGCAACGTTATAACGAAAGGGACTGGGGCGGGGGACCGGTTCCAAACTAATTAGGGCTGAATGCCTGGCAAGGTGCACATTCGTTCAACCAACGGGAAGCCGTGGGCATGCACAGACACTGTCACCCTGTCAGCAATAACGAGTTAACTCAGGCTTGAAGTGTAAAGGCACGGCCCGAGAGCTACAGTTAATGCGTAATGCTAATGTTGGGGGGGGCCGGTGTACATAGCATTGGGATGCGATAACGAGTTTAAAAGTTGAGGCGTTCAGAACAGAAACGGCCAGAAATCGATTCAGTACACTGCTGCCGGCCTGTTGCTTGACTGTACCCCATATCGCAGTCAGACTGTTAACAAACATTTCTTAAAAGTGCTTACTGTGTGCCAGGCTGGGGATACAGAAAGGCAAACGACAGCCTATGTTCTCAAAGAGACCCCAGTTTAATGGGAGTGACAACGTGCAAACAGCTCCGTGCAAACTAGATGTGTCTGTGTCTGTGTGTGTGTGTGTGTGTGTGTGTGAGAGAGAGAGAGAGAGAGACTCTATAATTTAGGCAATGTTTTTTGGGCATTACAGTTTTTAGAAAAACTCTGAGCAGCGCACCTAGCAATAGCCTTCAAAGAGCTTAGCTCTGCCAGTATTCAGACAAGAGACTTGCCCATCACTAGGACCAGGGCAGAAGTCTCTCTAGATTGGTATAATGGAAACAATCCTAGATCTGGTGTCGGATTGGAGAGGTTAAATCTTAACTTTCTTACTACCAGTATGACCCCCGGAGACTCATTTCATCCCTGGGTTCCAGTTCTCTCACCTGTAAAATGAAGGAGTTGGGCAGTTGGGCCGGATGGCCTCTAAATCTACAATTGTCTTGTACTTTCCACAATTTGGGCTCCTCTGGAACACTTGTCAAGAACCCACAGTGGCAATGAGACATCCGAAGGTGGAGGACAGACACCAACCATTAAATGAAATTCAACGAGTTGTTGTTTGAAGCAGTTTTTCTTATAGAAGAAAAGCATCGATCCAGACAAGCAAATACAAAATAAACATGAATATAGTAACATCTCTTTACCATTGTACTGGCTTACTTCGTTCCCCCCTTTCCTCCTATTTTCTTTCACTGATACTGTCCTGTTGTTTTTTCAGTGATGTTGCTTGGCATTCAGAATAAGACTGCTTTATTCTTTCATTTTCTTTATTCTACGCTGCTTAGGGTTCTCTCAGAAGGCTGTCTTTTTCAAACACCAAAGCAAAGACCTAGTCCAAAACATCATGCCTTGGTGGAAATGTGTTGATAATAGCATTTTCCCTGTTCCAGAAGCTGAGTGTTAGACATGTTTCATCTCAGTTGAAAATAAAACATTTTGAAGGCACACACACACACACACACACACACACACACACACACACACACAAACTGTTGCCTATTCTAACTCCTTCCACTTTCGAAGTCAATCAACAAGCATTTATTTCCTTGTGCTGTGTACTGTGCTAGGTGCTGAGGATAGAAGTGAAGCATTCTCTGCCCTCTAGGAGCTAGTTTACATTTTATGGAGGGAGACAACACGTGCACATCTAAGTGTGTGTATACATATACACATGCACATGTGTGGCATAATCTCTGGTGATACCACTATACCCACCATGCAATAATTATTTGCTACCCAAAGTAGATAGAATTAGACATACAGAACTCTGTAGTATGTTGTTTTTCAAAAGACCTAGGGAGGAGGGAGAGGAAAGGACAGTGACATCATTTTCAGTGTTGTCTCTAGTTAATTTTAAAATAGCACTAAGCAGCATATGTCTGGTGCCTACACTAAAGATCTCACCATATCATTTTGAGTCCCATTATAATTTAACAGGCTTCTTGTTTAAACAACATCGGGTTCTAAAATTCTTAACTGTTACAGGCTAAATTTGCTTTGCTTCCATCCTGATCACTTACTGGAAAGATAACTTTTCTAACAGCATAAAACTACTACAAAACGAAACAGTCTAATGCCATTATTTGGCAGCAAAAGTTTTACCAGATTTGACCAACTAGTAGATCCATTACCTAAATAGTTGTGATCTTTGTTTATTATTGAAAAATAATTTCTCACTATTATAAATGATGTTAAAGATTCTAGTTCTGCATTTTGTTTGAGGCTTAATACAGAAATGTTGTAAACCTATGTGGATTTGCATTCTATTTTCATTCAACTTCAGTTTAACTTTAGAAATGACAAAATTTGGGGGGTCTTGAATTAGTGTTAAATAAGAAAATTAGAAAAACATAGGCTTTTTTTTTTGTTCTCCCCTGACCAAGGCCAAGAAAAAGCACATTTAGAAAAACACTGAAGGCATGTATTCATTCCTCTGTGTTTCTGTTCACTTGCTTTGTAAAGGCAATTACCTCCTGCTTACACATGCTGCACAGATGCTCTGTAAACAATTTTGCCTGACACAATAGATGCTTTGCAAGCTTGCTACATTTATTTGCAGGCTTGATTTCCAGAAATCTCAAACTAAATTATAATCATAGACTCACAATAATAGTAATTTACATAGTACCTTCTATCTGAAGATTTCAAGTGCTTTATTGTTCCATATGATTATTTCTACCGTACTGAATCATGTCATTGATTTCATCAGTTGCAAACTCTTCAAGATAGATGTAGGTGTAACAAGATTATAACGTAATAAATAATAACAATGCCAAGGCATAATTATAACAAAATTGCCATCTGAAGCATTTCCCAAGTCATGTGGCCAACTCATACCTAATATGAGATAAAACAGCCATTGAGCAGTTAATGAATCGTGTTTAAAACTCACAGAAACCTTGGGATCATTTAGTTCAATGCTCACATTGTATAGGTCTAGAATCTGAGGCCCAGAGAGAAGAGACAGGCTCCACATCAGATCGGTAGTAAGAATAGTCAGTGCTGGGATGGATCTGACTTTGGGGTCAATTAGGTAATTTAAACATTAAATCCATATTTAGCTAATTGTATACCTCTTCAATTAACCATGCCCTCTAGTTCACTTCAAAGTTTTCTCAGCAAATATCTATCCATGATGTCTAAGAAAAAGCTGGGAATGAGAAGACATAAATTTTAAATTTTAATGCCAACTCTCCCACTTGGACAAGTCATGATTTTAATATCTCTAGGTCTCAGTTCCCTGAATTAGATCATTCTAACATAGCTTCAGCTCTAAAATTTTATAATTCGATATAGGTATCAAGGGAATAACTATTGTTACCAAATAGTCCATGACTAATTGTAACATGTTATTCCGACATATTTAACTTCACAACACACATAGCTCATTAGCTATCAGAGTTATAGTGCCAAAACTTGTAGGAAATATCACCATTCTTAATGTAAAACTCCCAAGACTTTCTTCCCCATCCAAATATAAAAATGAATGAAAGACCAGCTGAAATGTAGCAATTGCACATGATTCCGGGTTACCTCCCCAATCCAGAGTGACCTGGCTTTAGGAGAGAATCCAATGGGTTTTTCTCATTCTCCTACTCAGTAAGATAATCTCACTTGTGCTCTTGTGCACAGAGGTGAAAATTTAGCTCATAAAGAATTATGTAAACACTAGCCAGTGACAGTAATTATGTCAGTGGGTGTTAAAAAATGTTGGGATATTAAAACATGCCCAATTAGCTCCTGGTGACCCTGCGGCAGTCTTGTTTGCTCCCCACTGCCAATTTGAATATGGTAATAATAGCTATGGTATACTCATAATAATATCTTACCTATCTGGAATTTAGCTATTTAAGAGCCTTAATCAGAACACAATCATAATAAATAAATGCATGAATGAAAAATAAATAAATGGATGGATGAATGAATGACTATAATAATATAAAAACTCATGTTACTGTATTTAGAAAAATAAAATGAATATAGATAAATAAAAAGACTTCTGAGTCACCCAAACAGATGTCATGAAGTCCAAGCATTAAAGCCTGTGCACTTGATTCACAGGAGGGAAAGGAAGTGAACAAGCATTTATTAAGCACCTGCTGTCTACCAGGTGCTTTACAAATACAATCTAATTTGATCTTCTATTATGATCCCCATTTTACATATGAGGAAACTGAGGCAAAGGAAGATGAAGTAATTTGCCCAGGGTCACACAGCCAATAAGTGCACTGTACCGCTTCACTGCCTAGCAAATTAGTCTCTCTCTCTAGGCCTTTCAACTAGTATTTTAGACATGATCCTAGCAAGCAAGAGGCAGCTAGCTCAGGGGTACAATGGATAGAGCATTGGACTTGTGAGTCAGGAAGTCCCGACTTTAAATCCAATCTCAGACACTTACTAGCTGTGTGTGACTCTGGGAAGATACTTAACCTCTGCCTGACTTAGTTTCCTAATCTGTAAAATGGGGATGATAATCATAATACCTACCTCCCAGGGTTGTTGTGAGGATCAAATGAAATAGCATTGGTAAAGTACTTTGCAAACGTTAAAGTGATATATAAATGATGGCTATTATTATTTAGTGTCACCATCTGATTTCCTAAGTATAAATAGATTTTTTTATTGTTTCTGATCTAGTTCTGTTAATTCTTCAGTGCGTGAAACTCTTGCTCCCAATGTGTGTTGGTGGCCATTATCCATCTTGCAAGTCCTAAAGAATTGCCCTGGTTCCTGAGTTTTCCAGGATCTCCCGGTGGCTCATGAGTATGTCACAGGTGAGACCGGAAAGCAGATTAGAAATAGAAAACTGGAAGGAAGAACTACTAGGCGGGCCGTACATATGGGTCAGAAATGGACAAAGAAAGGAAAATGAAAAAGCAAACAAAACAAGTGGGGTTTTTTTTGGTTTTTGTTTTTAAAGAAAACCACTGCAATCTTCAGCCATTTGACAAAGGGTACAAGAGCTTTATGGACTTCAAGAGAAACAAAGGGCATCAGTGTATTGTAGCACCTAATATAATAATTGATACTTACAACACAGCATCATTAATAAAAAGCTTCGATTTAGCATTTTCTATTGAATAAATTAGGAGAGGGCATTTCCACTCAGCAGATCAAAATAAAATGCATTTTGATGCTTTATAAATGTAAACAAACCTTTAGCTATTCAGAAAACTCAGTTATCAGAAAGACATTCTTCACTGGTTCTGAATAGCCACAGTTTTACTGTAAAATTCTTTGAGGGTGTTGAAAATAGCCAAAGCATGGTTTTAAAGTTTCCAAAATTAAATATTTCATAAAAACAATCAACAAAAACATAAAAATAAACATAAATTATAAAAATACCAAATGTATGTATCTTAAGAATATGGAAAGATACATGATCTTATCTTTTAAAATTATTAACAACCTAAAGAAGAAGTCATTTAAAAGCGATTTTTTTTTCCCTTTGAAAACAAGAAATTGGTGGTATTTTATCTGTAGATAGCTGGGATGGCATTTAACTAGGAGAGATAAACAGATGCATGTGGATATCTCTAACAGATGTGTTAGCAGACCTTGCCAAACACAGAAAAAAAAAATTGTTCTTTAATGCCCCAAATAGAAAAGAGGAGGGAATAAGAAACTTAAGTATTTAATTTTAGGATTGTTCATCCCCAATTAAAAGGAAGCCTATTTCATTTAGAACCACTCTGGGTGATAATGTGACAAAGGATGGGAATAGTGTTTGTATAGAAGCACTATACTTAGATTAGAGATTTATGTTTGGTGGTGAGTCTTCATATTAATTTGCAAAGAGCAGCTGTTATAAGTATCCCCAGCCAGCAATAAGTGGGAGGAAAGGGGGACAGATGAGGACTGAAGTAAACATATGCAAGGCAGCTCATTTCCCTACATAACTAAGAGCATAGCTGCCCACATGAGAAGAGGAGTAGAGAAAAATCCATTTGTACACCGGACAAGATTACTATATAAATATAACTTTGCTCTTCAAATTAAAAAACAAAAAAGGCTCTGACTGACTTCCTCTGAAAGAATACAATTATTTTAAGTGCTGGTTTTGGTATGTCACCACAGAGTAACCTCTTCCTCATATGTAACCAATCTTATTACTCTCAATGTTTGTCTTTCCT